CCTCCTTTTCCTCAGAATCCCTTAGTGCCTTGGTAAGCACCACAGCAGTGTCAGCAGAAATCTAGAAAGTCCTCCCAGGCAGGCAGGCAGGCAGGCAGGCAGCCCACCATATCAGATTGCACGCTTTTTTATTTTTCCTTGGCACTTAAGAGGGATTCAACTAGGAATTGATAATGTTTAACATTTACACTACCACCTGCTAGGAAGGACATAACACCGCTCCAAAAAGAAAAGCTTAAATGTGTATAAAAATTCTTGTTTGTGGTGCTAGGAATAGAAATGAGGGTTACATGCATGCGTGCTAGGAAGGTATTCTCATGAGAAACACTACCCAAAACCCCCCCCAAAAAAAACCATATATACACACACACACACACACACGCATAATCACACATACACATTTACTTTTACCTGGAAAGTTAAGGAAAAATAAAAATAGACTTTTAAAAGGAATAAGCTAAAGGAAGTAGAAAATGTGAACGGGAGGGAACAAATGGAGTGGAACAGAATGATGGAAGAGGCAACTGATCAAGAAGCATCAGAAACTTAGATGGACATATTGAATGCTAACCTTCTTGTATAACCTTTTGAAGTCAAAGGAAAAGTAAAATAAAGACATATATGAGGCAGGCACTGGTACTTCACTCTTGTAATCTTAGCTATTCAGGAGGCTGAGATCTGAGCAGCACAGTTCAAAGCCAGCCCAAGCAAAGTCTATGAGATTCTTATCTCCAATCAACTACTTGGAAAAGCTAGAACTGGTCCTGTGGCTAAAGCCACAGTGGTAGAGCACTAGCTTTGAACAAAAAAAGCAGCTCAGGAACAGTGCCCAGGTCCTGAATTCAAGCCCCAGGACTGGCAATCAAATCAAATCAAATAAATACATATATGACTTTAAAATGATTCATTTGTATCAAGGTTTTGATGCTTCAGACCAAAGAAAAAGCATCATCACATCTAACACTGTAGAATGATCTATTTTGCAAAGATGTTTACAGAAACTGATGCCATGTTGTTTCCAGGTCTCTTAAAAAATGGGATATTATAATCATAGAACATCCACAGAATTTAGTATTTTGGCAGCTTGCATAAAATTGGAAAGCAGTAGCTATCTTTAAGAGATAAATTACAATGAAGCCCAATATTTGCATTATTTTTGAGAAGGAAAGATTGCTTTGCACTGAACAAAAATACTTGTTTGCTTAGTCTCCAGAAATTCTTCTTCCAATGGGCAAACTCCAGAGCACAAGGTACTCCCTCACCTATGAGCAATCCAAATGGGTAAGGGGATGATTTCCAAACACATCTGCTATAAACCCTTCCATTCCAGTGCTGAAAAGTGAGAAGACATGTAAACATATACATTGATTGCACAGCATTTGGAATTGAAGAGGGCTTTTTGGTTTTTGATTGGTTAGTTAATGGCAACTGCTACCCTTCAAGATAAACAAGAAATGGGAAAGGACCTCAGGAAATCCAAGGTACTATCTCCTCCTTGCCTACCGGTCTCTACAGTTCTGCTGTTGGCTGGGTGCTGACAATACAAACCCCAGAGTACATGCTATTTAGATTACAGAGGGGGAACAGGCTAGCCCTTAACAGTAAGGCCCAGTCTACACAGGACACAGAATGGAGATTGTCAGCACCATCTTGAGCTCTGTTTTATTTTCTGAGGCAAAGTAATTCTAGATATTTTTCGCAGTTCGTAACTGGTCAAGGTTTTCTCCTCTACAACCTCTTAAAAAATTCAACTGGGCTGATTTGTTTCCAGGCTGTAAAACCACAAACACTAGCAGTTCAGGAGACAGTAGCTTCAGGAGCATAAAGGGAAAAGAAAAAAAGACCAGCCAACTGGTTTGATCTGTGGAGAATTCTGTCCATGCTGCCCCTCCCCCTCTTCTAAAAATTCTGAGACAAAGGATGCTTATTTAAATGTAGTAAACTCTGCAAATGAAAATTCCTCGAAAGCCTTGACACACATACTCAGCTAACACCATCATTTCATGGTCAGATCTGCCAAATCTGGCCAAAAGGATCTCAGTATTTGTCAGTCACATGGTTTGTAACAGGCTCTTCTCTTCAAATTCAATGCAAAGGCAGATGGACTGCTCACGAAGAGACCATTTCAGGCGTTGAGGATAATAATGACAAAAGTCAAGATTTAGGGTTCAGTTCCAGCTGATTTTATTTCCTTCTCAAAAAAAGTTATTTACAGAAGGTATATATCAACAATCTGACAGGCAGTGAACTTGACATGATTAGCTGGCATGATTTTTTTCTTTTTCTTTTTTTTTTCCCCCAAAACATTGTTTTTGTGGCCTTGAATTTTAAGACAAATATTCTACACGGCATATTGCACAGGATGGATGGCAAAAAAAAGTTTAAAAACAAAAACCCTTAACGGAACTGCCTTTAAAAAAGCAGACGTCCTAGTGCCTGTCATGTTATATTAAACATACATACACACAATCTTTTTGCTTATTATAATACAGACTTAAATGTACAAAGATGTTTTCCACTTTTTTTCAATCTTTAAACACAACAGCTATAAACCTGAACACATATGCTATCATCATGCCATAAGACTAAAACAATTATATTTAGCGACAAGTAGAAAGGATTAAATAGTCAAATACAAGAATGAAAAACGCAGTACATAGTGTCGCGAACTCAAATCGGCATTTAGATAGATCCAGTGGTTTAAACGGCACGTTTTTGCTTATAAAAAAAGTGCAAAAAAGATGTGGTTTACAAGTTAAAGCTACAGGATCCCTTTTTGTTGTAAATGCACCAGTTTTAAAGCCTCTGGACAAAAACAGTATTAAAAAAAATTTTTTTTTCTTGCAAGCAAACAGTGCTTGGTTAATTCTCCCCATTTTGCAAGATGGGGCTGAAGGGTGGATACTGGTGGCAGGTTAAGGGATACTGTCACTTTAAGAAGCCTGCAGATTGAAGTGTAAACATGGAGAAATTAGGGGCTGATTTTTTTAAACTGTGTGAGATATTAACCAGCCTCCCTATTATAAAATCAGGAAATCCAAACAGCGATTTACACCGATTAACACCCCCTTTATATATTTTTTACAAAAATACACTGAGAAAATAATCAAACGTTTTCATCTCTCTTGTCTTTTTTTGTTTTTTAAAAGTGTCAAAAGTCTACATTTAAATATAAAAAATTAAAAGTTAAAACTCTAGCCCTTCAGTGAAGGAGACGTAAATGGCGTGGGAAACAACAACTACAAGAAAGAGAAAGGAAAAGAGAAAGAAAAAGAAAATAGAAAAGGAAGAAAGGAAAGCAGAAATAAATCAAAAGCAAAAAAAAACAAAAAAAAACAACAAAAAAAGGAAGCAAAAGGGGAAAAAAAGGGATAAAATAAGAGGGAAAAAAATGTTTGGCCAGTATAAATACGTCCATATATAAAATGGCATCTGATTACATTTACAAGGAAAAAAAATACGAGGATGGAGCATCGGTGAGAAAAGAAAAAAAAAAAAACAGAGCACGTCTTCTCATTTACACCTCTAAGGAATAAACACATACACACTGAGAAAAAATTTGGTCCTGAATTGTTTCCTTTTTTTTTTTTCTTCAAAAGTCCAGCACAGATTTGAGTTGCGTTTGAATCCTTTAAAGAGTTAAGAATGAAAAAAAGCTGGTGATAATTCTGTCGTAGGAATCAAACATAGCGCCATCTATCTGCTTTTTATATTATCCTACACTATTTTAAAAACTGCTCAACAGTCTTATACAGAAATCTTTTAAAAGATAGACAGGATAACATGCTATATTAACCCCACCAGTGAAATAATCCAACACCATCACGATTCCAATTAAGAAGAAAAAAAAAACCCTCTGTCCCCCACCCCCACCCCCACCAAAGACCACTCGCCCTCCGTGGACCCAGCACCAAAAACTCAGTCTCCTCCTCTCCTCCACGCCTCCGGCTCGGGGAAGTCTCCCCTCTGCTCCCGTCCAGACCGAGGGTGGAGGCCCGGGCCCGCCGCCTCCCTCTTCCCCCCCCCAACATGCCGATGCCAGGCCCAGCACCGCACCGGGACGGGGAGCCCCGGAGGGGGCCCACCCTCCGTCCCCCCCACACCGTCCGTATTCTCCTCCAGCCCCCGCCCGCCGTGCGCCCCCCCTCGCCCCCCGCGGTGGTGGCTTCCAACGAGGTTCTCTGGTCACTTCCCAGCGCCGGGCACACTCTGGCTGCCCTCCTCTCCCCTTCCCCCTCCGCATCTCCTCTTCTGGCTGCAGGAGGAGCAAGGAAAAGAAGAAGAAGAAAAAAACCAAAAATAACCCAAACCACACAACCACACAGGAATTCGCCAGCGTGCAGTCTCTCCGTCCCAGCGCCCCGCGAAGCCCCGGCCGCCGCCGCCGCCGCCGGGCTCGCCGCCTGGACCCAGCCCCCCCCTCCCCCACGTCTTCACGAAACTGAACAAGAAAAAGAAGGGGAGGGGGCCCCGGCTCCCCTCGGTTGTCGATCCACAAAGCGAAATCAAGTCAACAAAAATCCCAACCAAAGTTGGTGCAGGGAGAGGGGCGAGAGCCTCCTGCAGTCTCTCTAGAATCTTCTTTCTTGCTGGGGGAGGGGAGATGCACACACAAGTCCGGAAGCTCGTTGGAAGGGGGGGGGGGAGTCTCTTCAAGCAAAGGGGAGGAAACTCGAAGTAGCTTTTTTTTTTGCCATCAACAACAACATCAATAACAATAAAAGGTCGCCCCTGTCTACCCTCCGCGTCCCCGGCCTGGGGTGGGGGGGTGGGGAGCGCGGGAGCCCAGCGCCCCGGCGCCCCCTCTCCACGGCGGGGACGCGGCCACAGCCAGCCCTGCTCACGCTTGGTTTTTTTTTTTTTCCTCTTCCTTTTCTTTTTTTTTCTTTCCCTTTTTCTCTCTCTCTTTCATCTCCGCATCTGTTCTTTTCCTTTCTTTTTTCTGTATTTTTCTTTTTTGCTTTTTTTTCCTCTTTTTTTTTCCTTTTTTTTTTCTCCTTCTCCTCCTCTCCTGGTGCGCCCCTCGGCCCTCCTGCTCCCCAACCCGGCCGCCCGTGCGCGCGCACACACGCGCGCGCGCTCCCTTCAGTAGGTGAAGACCAGGTTGGAGATGCTGGACTCGAGCCAGTCTCCCGAGATCATCTCGCTCACCTCGGGCGTGCAATAGTCCGGGAACTCGAAGTGCGAACCGGAGCCCGGCTCGAAGTTAAAATCCAGGTCCCGATCCAGCGCCGACGACGAGCTGAAACTGCCCAGGGACATGCTCTCAAAGTTTGAACTGGGATTCAGGTCGAGCAGGTCGTCTTCGAACTCATCATCGGAGGACGAGGAGGAGCCCGAGGACGACGAGGCGGACGAGTGCGACGAGGCCGAGGAGGACGCGTGCGAAGGCGCGCTGGACGGGGCGGGCGAGGCGGCGCGCAGGCTGGCGTAGCCGCGGTGGTCCGCGGGCGAGCGGCCGGCGGCGGGTGACGAGGCGGCGCTGCTGCGGCCGCTCAGGCTCGGGCCGTCGGGCGAGCAGCCCGCGCCCCCCTCTTCGTACAGGCCTAGGGGATCGCTGGGGTCGGCGCCTGCGCCCAGGCCGCCCACGGGGGACGCCGAAGCGCCCAGGCTGCCGAACAGGTAGACACGCTTCACCTTCTTGTCGGCCAGGTGCTTGGCCGGGGCGGCGAGCGCCGACGAGGCCGCGGCCGCGGTGGAGGCCGCCGCCGTCGAGCTGGGAGTCCGCACCTTGTACAGCGAGTGGTGATCGGCGGCCGCCGCGGCGCCCAGGGGCAGCAGGGCGGCGGTCCCCGCAGCCTGCTCGGCCGCGAAGGACGCGGTGGCGGTGGCTGGGGCTCCGGACCCGGCTTTCCCGCCGCCGCCGCCGCCGCCGCCGCCGCCGGGCAGGACGAGCTTGGCGTGCGGTTTCCCGGCCGCGCCGCCCGCGCCGCCCGCCGCTTTGGAACCGCAGCTCTTCTTCGGCGCCGCTTTGGAGTTGGCGCCGCCGTTCGCGCCGCCGCCGCCGCCGCCGCCCCCCGCGTTCCCGCTCCCGCCGCCGCCGCCGCCCCCGTGGCCGCCCCCGCCGCTGCCACCGACCTTGTCTCCCTTCTCCCCGGGCTTGGAGGAGCTGGAGGAGGAGGACGAGGAGGCGGCGGTGGCGGCCGAGGAGCCCGAGTTGGCGTTGCCGGACTTCACCTTCTTCCTGGGCCGGTACTTGTAGTCGGGATAGTCAGCCATGTGCTTGAGGCGCAGCCGCTCCGCCTCCCGAATGAAAGGGATCTTGTCGCTGTCCTTGAGCAGCTTCCAGCGTTTGCCCAGCCGCTTGGAGATCTCGGCGTTGTGCATGTCGGGCGACTGCTCCATGATCTTGCGCCGTTCGATCTGCGACCACACCATGAAGGCGTTCATGGGTCGCTTGATGTGGCCGCTCGGCGTCTTGCACCAGCTCGGGTCGTCGGCCTTACCGCCCGTGGAGGCGGTGGAACCGGGCGTAGGGGACGAGGCGATGCCCAGCTCCAGGCCGGCGCCCGAGTCCGAGCTCTCGCCGGCCAGCAGCGCTTCCGTGTTCTCGGCGTTGTTGGTTTGCTGCACCATGGCCCCGGCTCGGCGGGCGCCCACGCGCGCTCACACCCTCGCCGGTGTCCGCGGCGCGATCGCTGGGCCCTCCCGGCTCCCCCGGGCCAAACGCACGCCGAGCTGGAGAAGGCGCGAGGCGGGCCGGCCGGCCAGCCGGACCCCTCCACTCCGGGCCGGGGCGGAGGTGGGCGAAGAGAGAAAAGTCCCAAAAGATGCGCGCGAGGAGCGCTCCGCCTCTCGCAGAGGAGTTATAGTTCCCAGGCTGGAGAGTCAAGTCTTTCTCTTACTCTCTCTCCCTGTCTCTCTCTTTCCCTCTCTCCTCTCTCTCTCTGTCTCACCGAGCTGCAGTTTGCTCTGTCTGTCGGCTCTGAGTCTGGAGACCGGACTAACGTGGAGAGGAGTTTCTTGATTGCTTGCTGCTGGCTGAAGCTTCTTCCAGTGCAAGTTTCTCGCCGCCTCCCAGGCAAGTCTCTCTCTCTCTCTCTTTTTTTTCCTTCCCTGAAGCAGTTGATTCCAGTTCACGAGCGCTCTCGGTAGCTCAGGAAAGCAACATAGTCTCTATCACTTAGTCCCTTTCCTACCATGCAAAGCAAAAAAACCCACTCTGGCTCCAGGACTCTCTGTGGGTGGAATCGGCACTAAGGAGTTTGTGCAATTATTTTGTGGCAAGGTAGGAAGCCAAAAAGCCTGCATGCAACAGACTGGCATGAATAAATGTATGTTTCCCCCTCCCTTCTGCAAGAAGGGAGCTGGTAATGGCAGAGTTCCTCCAGTGCAGACTCTTGGAAAAAAAGGAAAAAAAAAAAAAAGCGTGCAAGAACTAGAGACCCGGGAGTGAGACAGGCCTCTTCCCTCACACACAGTTTCTCTTGCTGCAGCTTAGAGCAGACCCCAATTCCGTCTCGCGCCTCTTTATCCTTTCACAGACTTGGCCGCAGCCAATCAACCGCTGTAACTAACGCTTCCTCGTGCCAAGCTCCACCCCCGGCCTTCCCATTGGCTTGGAATCCGATGCAATAATAATCTCCGCGTGCAATGAGAAGCTCCAAATCTGACCTCATTCCAATTTACAGAGCAAACTTTTTAAAAGGGCTGGAAGTACAGCTGAGATTTCTGCTGCCTCTTTTTTCCTCTTGCTCTGTGTGTGCGTGAGCGCGTGCGCGTGCGCGCGCGCTCGTGTGTGTGTGTGTGTGTGTGTGTGTGTGTGTGTGTAGAGGATGTTAATGCATGAAATTATTAAGGGGAGAGACGGAAATGTATTCTATCCATTATGTTAGATAACAAGGGGCTCTTTGGGGGTAAGGGTGAAATACTGTAAATGGAAGCTCTCTGCTTAAAAGCCAAGTGATTATTTTTATTAGTTCTTTTCAGCATTGGAATAAAAGAATCAGCCTCTAGTGCCAAATCTGTTTCTCAGCTCCTCCTCAAAGCCAGAGATGTAAAAGGGGACGAAAGCCACGACAATAAATCAATGGATATTGAAAACCATTAAGAAAGTGGTACCTAGACACCTGTCATCACAATTATTTTAACAACTCTGGGTACAGCACAGATGTTGATGTACTGTGCAAATCTCTTCAAAACCCTTTCTGTATTGTTTGTGGAAGGTAGAAGAGAGTTCTTTTTTTTTTCTTTTTCTTTTTCTTTTCTTTTCTTTTTTTTTTTTTTTGCAGTACTTGCTTACTCTCTTAACCAAACAGAGGTTAACTATGGTTATTTCATGATTTAAACTCCCCTATAAATCCTGGATAGCCCAAACAAGGAGCTTTGCCTTGAATCACATTAGCAGTGCTCCACTGTTACCTCGATTGGAAGCTTAGCATAGAGTAATACAGTAATACAGGGTGAAAATGCTGAGCAAAGGATGGAAGCTGCCTTGACTTCTTAATGTTTTCCAAAGAAAAAGACTGCTTCACTCTATTCTCTTCCTCTCTTCAAACCCCTCTGTTCCTCTTTATAAATATAAACCTCCTGTGTGTGTGTGTGTGTGTGTGTGTGTGTGTGTGTGTGTGTGTGTGTGTGTGTGTGTGTGTGGTTGCTTGGAGCAAATGGAACTAAAAGAGAAGCAGTGGGAGGAGGTAATAACTGGCAATGGGAGAGAAGAGGGCCTCTAAAGTCACATTCGCCCTGCATGTTAATCTTTCTTACTGGGTTTGTATCTGTGAGGATGTGACTATGTCTGGGCTTTCCTGGCCTGTGATGTGAGAATACTAAGAGTTACTTTATAGAGAGGACTGTTGTTGTTACAACCAGTTTGAGGCTATTAAGCAGTCGTGTATGGTGAGCCCTGAATGAATGCTAATGTAATGCTTGGTAATTCAAATGCCAATTCTAGTAAAAGCAGCATGTTGTTGGAGAAGCTAGAATTAGGATGGCCGGTGGTGTGAAAGAGCCATCCTAAGATCATAGAGGGGTACTCTGTTTGTCCCCTCCCCCATGGCTTTTAAAAGAAAGGAACTTCATAAACAAGAGTGTGAGAAATGTGGCAAAGTAATGTACTTTGCTATTCAAAAATATGTGTTAATTTGGCCACAAAACTACCTCTTTCTCAAAATCTGAAAACTACAATTTTTTTTTTTGAAATAAAAATTGGCCTTCCATTAAACTACAATAGCAAACTATTTTCCTTCAGCCCAGTGATAGGTAGGGGCACCCAATGTAAAAATCAACTTTAGATTCAGGTCACACTAGTGCTGGATACTGTATTTCCACTTATCTTGTCAAACTTTTTAAGTATGTATACTGGCAACAGGCCCAGATTGTCAGATTTAAAATTTTACTGGGAAAAAAAAACACCAGACAGAGACAGTGGATTGGATCAACCACAAGCCAGAATGTTTTTGTGGATATAAGCAAATAATTTTTGACCATGAGCTACCCAAGTTATATACTTTTTCTTTCTAGAAGTGGAAATCTTCAAACAACAACCAAAACTTAAAAAGAAAACAAAAAAATTCAAAGACACTTTGGCATATATTTCATGTTTTTCACCCCTAAGAACTATCAATCTGACTTAATTCTTTTAAGAAACCTATTATCTATAAATTCAGTATTTTCACTAGGATAAAAAAAGAGAACAAATACATTTACATCAGAATTTGGACCACACAATGATAATAGATGTAACTAGTTTGATAACTCAAAGTGAGTATCCAGCTGATTGATTAGATTTCCACCACTGAATATGATGGGGGAAAAGGGGAAGTTAATCCAATAGCCATGCTAATTATGTTTATACTTAATACACTGATGTCTTAAGAGTGAACTAAGAAGTAGTCACTGACCTAATTCTTTTGTTAGATGTATTTTTTTCCATTTCCACAAGTTCAACAGTTTTAAGATATATCATTACATTTCATGACACCAAAAGAAAAAAAATGCCAATAACAAATAACAAAAGTCCCACAATTTTCATCCTTCTAATCGAAGATGTACCTCCCTATTTTAGAGATGTTGAGATAATAAGGTTTTAGAATTGATGAAATGGCATTAGTAAGCTCCTTTGACTTTATTAGATCGTTGTAGTTTGTACATGTATATACATATATATGTGTGTGTGTATATATATATATATATATATATGAGTGTTTCACTTTTGAAGTAGGTCTGTTTTTAGGTGTTAGATCTCTTAGGGTGTAAGAAAACATGTGGCAAGTGGCCTTTAATTAAAGTCATCTTTCCCTGGAGTAAAGTCTAGGCATACCAGAATGCATTCATTTGGCTTCTGAATAGCAAATAATGAAAAGGTTTCTGTGTTCTCATTACCTAACTTCAGTTCTCCATTACTGACATTTTTTTCATCAAATACCAGATATTTGGTGGCCCCAGGAACATCAGTACTCAGTGTTCCCTCTGCTGGATTTTCAGTACATGAAGTGATTCTTACTGCTACTCTTATAGCTGTATTAACAAAAAGCCAAGATAATGTTGCAAATAAAAAAAAAATTCCCATTTTAGAATAATGGACTCATTGTCTTCATTGGCAACGATGTGAGACATTTTCAGTTTTGACTTAGGCAGATATTTGCTCCATTATCTTATTCCATGAAATCATGGAATCCATTTGAGGTCTCAGTGTAATACCTGCTAATGCTTGGCTTCCGCTACTGACACCTGCACCATAAAATCCTATGTCCATACATAGTATGGAATATAAATAGGAGTTCTCTCCTACTGTCTAATATATTCCTATAGCATTGGAGTGGGCAGAGGCTGAAACTAAAACAATCTGGATTTGAACTGATTTGCAAGGTTTTGCTCACCTTGTTTGTAGAAATTATGATTGCCAGAGGTGGTCTAATCTGAGTATTCAGTTCAGATAAAATTAGGGGCGGGCAGTTAAACTTTAGTTGACAAAGAAGAAGCCCTGGGAAATATGTTATTGGCTTTTGTCAACAGAAAGGCCCCAGGATTTCTGGTTTCATGCATTACACAGGACTGAGGTTTGTGTGCGTCTGAGGTCTGAGGCTGAGTCTGATTTTCTTCTTTGTCAAGGAGACAGACTAAACTTGCACTTCCATCCTTTTGGGTTTGATGGCTGCTGTATCCAAACAGGACTTGCAGAAGAAAATTGTACTGAAAAAATAATTCATGTGAACAATTCTTATTTTCAAAATACCAAAACAAGGTAATTAAATCTGTGGTTTATTTTTGCTCATAGAATTAAATTTTACTATTAGAATAACATTTCTGATCATTGTTAATCCATGTCTCTTCCCTGAACCACTATCACATACAAGGCTCAAGTCAGCAATGCATACCAATGCCAATCCGTGCCAACTCATTTTTTCTTTTTCCTCTCGGTTTTCTCAGAAGAACAGCAGAAAGGTTTGCCTGGGCCGCTTCCTAGGCCTAAAGCAAAGCCACTTTTGCTCCATTTCTCCAGGCCCAGACTTGTCCCACCCACCTACAGCCCACATTTGCACTCCGGCCAATTGCCTTCCGATCCGGACAGACGCGGCCGCCAGGTGGCAGTGCTGAGCCTCCCTGCGCCCAACTGGAGCCCGAGGAAAAAACGTGGGGATGGTCCACTCCCTTTTCCTCCCTGGAGCCAGCACGGTCCTCACCTTCCTCCACGTTGCCTTCTTCGGGGAGCAGTGAAAAAGATCAGCGGGCGACAGGGTGTGTCCGCCAACTGATTTCTTTGTTAAGGAAATAAAAAGTTTATGGCAACCGACGTGGCAGCTTCTCCCCCCGCCCCCTCGAGTCAGAAGCCCTAAGCCTGGCATCCCCTCGAATCCGGTACCCACACCCGGGACTCGATCCCATCTCCGGCTTGGGAATGGGTTATCCATGCAGCTTCTCCGTCAGCCGCTCTCGGCGGGGAGCAGCCGCCGAGAAACAATGGCTCCTGACTTCAGAAATACACTACCTAAGTAAGACAGACCTTTTTTCAGACAGGTTTTTGCTGCGCCTGGCCACGCGCGGGGCCCCTCCAGCCCTCTCCGCCCGCGGGCGATGCAGGGCGCTCAGCCTCGCCTCTCCGTGACAGTTACCCGGGGGAACTGACTGGGCCTGGCTCGGGCTGTGCTTTTTCGGAGGAGGAGAGTGGTTCCGAGTGTCAACACGTTTCCGGCGATCCCGCCAGCGGCGTCTTCACACCTGTCTTCCCTTTAGGTTTGCAGCGAGGGGGGGAGGGACCAGAGACGCACGCAGCCTTCCCCCCCCCCATGCCCCCCGCGCCCACACCGGCTCCCCGACCTGCCCCGGACGTGCGTGGGGCCCGGGGCGCGCCAGGCCCCGGCGCCAGCTCCCCCCCCCCTCCGCTCCCCGAGCCCGCTCGGCGCCGGTGCCCAGTTCCGCCACTGGCCGGAACTGGCAGCCGCCGCCCCCAGTGCCCCCGCACCCTGAGCCCTGGACTCCTCAATGCCTTCTCGGGTGCTCGCGGGGACCGCGCGCCCCTCCCCGGCCCCGCTGGCGGAGCTGGGCAGCGCGCAGCTGCGGGGTCCCCGTAGTCATGGGGAGGGGGATGCGGCGCGTCCCTTCCGTGGGGCCTGTGGGGGGCGGGTGGAAGGGGGAGGTGAGCGAGGCGTCCCTAGCGGGGGCCTGGATGGGGAAGGGGAGGGGAGTTGACCCTTCTCTGGGACTTGGGGGGAGGGGAGGCCAGGGGAGTCCATTTCTGGGGCGGTGGGGGTGTCCCTCGGAGTCCCCTCGCCCTTCCGCGGGCAAGGCTGGAAGCCAGAGGGCTGGGAGGCTGCGGTCGGCGAGCGCGGCGGAGCGGTCCCGGGGTGCCTGCCGGGGTGCCTGCCGGGCGCCGTGGCCGGGGGGCGCGCCCCACGCGCGGGGCTGGGCGGGGGGGGGGCGATCCTGCCCCGCGCCCGGAGAGGGGTCGGGGAGCCAAGGATGCGGCGGGGCGCGGGGCGCAGCGCTTTGTCCGCTGGCATCTGCCGGTCTCGCCGCCTCTCCGCCGGCAACCCAGGCGCTCAGGCCCGGGCGCAGGCTTCCCTCCGCGCCCCGGGCGCCCCGAAACCGCCGCAGTGGCCCAGCCGCGGCGTGGGTGGGGCGCCTTCCCCCCCGGATCCCCGCCCG